ATAGGTGGGTGTGGCTGGATGACCACACTTCTGGTAACATGGGGGTGTGGCCTAATATGCGAATGAGCTGTGATGTCAGGGTGTGGCCTGATATGCTAATGAGTTCCTGCGGTTGGGTATGGCTTATTATGCTAATGAGTTCCTGCTGGGCTTTTTCTACAAAAAGAGCCCTGGAGACCCTTGGACTATCAGGGTCAGCAGTGTCTGCCTTGATGAGTAGTGACTCTTTAGGGTCTCAGCTGGAGATCTTTCCATCAATCACATACCTGAGAGTCTCCAGGTAGTTTCCAACCCAGACCTGGCAACCCTATGTCCAGAGGAGGACAACAAAGATGGTGAGGTGTCTGGAGACGAAGTCCTATGAGGAAAGGTTGAAGGAGCTGGGTATGTTTAGCCTGGAGAGGAGTCAACTGAGAGGTGATATGATAACCATCTTCAAGTATCTGAAGGGCTGTCATCTAGAGGATAGTATGGAGTTGTTTTCTGTTGCCCCAAAAGGTAGGACCAGAACCAACAAGTTGAAATTAAATCAGAAGAGTTTTCAGCTAAACATTAGGAAGAACTTCCTGACAGTTAGAGTGGTTCCTCAGTGGAACAGGCTTCCTCGGGAGGTGGTGGGCTCTCCTCCTTTGGAGGTTTTCAAAACAGAGGCTAGGTGGCCATCTGACAGCAATGCAGATTCTGTGAACTTAGTTCGGTCATTAGAAGGGAGGGCAGGAAGGGCTGCCTCAGGGCTTAGTTCTCGTGGCCCTTTCTTACACACCCAGGGGGATGCTGGTCGCCACTCTGGGGTCAGGAAGCAATCTTTCTCCAGGCCAGTTTGGCCAGGGATCCTGGAGCTTTTTTGTCATCTTCTGGCCACGGAACAGCGGGTGTGGAGGGGGAGGTATTTGTGAATTCCCTGCATTGTGCAGAGGTTGGACTAAAGGACCCCGGAGGCACCTCCCAACTCTATGCTTCTGTGATCCTTAGAACAGCTAGATCAGAGGTGTCCGTGTTCACAATCTGAGAGCTCTATAGGAGGGCAGGATGTGCAGAATCCTGGCTTGGAAGAGCCACAGTTGGCAATTGGCAGCGGATCCACTGAAGGAATGTTTGTGAACCTACGAGGGCCGGATCTGACATAAATGTCACTTTGTTGAGCCGGGCCATGTGTGCCATGAAATGTATTGCCAAGTACCGGAGAGATACACTTTATGAAGGACACGGGCAACCAATGTTTCCTCTAAGCTGTGGAGTTTTGTGAGCAAGAATTCTACTTTGTGAGCTACTGGCATTAAATTTGTGAGCGAGCAATTTGGCTACTGTCTAAATTAGTTTGTTCTGGAGCCCTCCTTCCCGAGCGAAGACAAAAATCTGTGAGCTGGAGGCTAAAAAACTGTGAGCTAGCTCACACTCACTCAGCTTAGAGGGAAGACTGCAGGCTACCCCAATTAATGATATTATTTTTTTTTACTCAACATACGGACATGCTTAAAACATTAACACTCTTGTAGTATTACACTATATCTCCCTGATGCCCACCGTCCCACTTCCACTGCCCAGTACTCATTAGCACTGGGACAGGATACAGGGACATCATGCTCAGCCTCTGGCGTCTGGCCATAAGGGTAAACAGTTGCTCACGGACCAGATAAGAGTGCTGTCCTCCGGAGGCTGTATGTTTGACACCCCTGACTAGATTCAAGTCTAGTAGCACCTTCGAGACTAACAAGATTTTGGGAGCATGACTGTGGAGTCTTGTGAGCAAAAATTCTACTTTGTGAGCTACTGGCGTTAAAGTTGTGAGCAGATGATTTGGCTACTGCATAATTTGGTGCGTTCTGGAGCCATCCTTCCTGAGCGAAGGCAAAAATGTGTGAGCCAGAGACTTAAAGACTGTGAGCTAGCTCACACTAACTCAGCTTAGAGGGAACGCTGTTTGTGAGCGACTGGCATTAAAGTTGTGAACAAGCAATTTGGCTACTGCATCAATTAG